ACTCTTGTTTTTCACTCACACACTAGTAGGTAGTGCACCGCTACTCCCATGGATGATCTTTGATGCAATCTTGGTGATCTAGCCTACTCAAACTCGTGTTTTTCACTCATACACTAGTAGGTAGTTCACCGCTACTTCCATGGATGATCTTTGAGGCAATCTTGGTGATGTAGCCTACTCAAACTCTTGTTTTTCACTCATACACTAGTAGGTAGTGCACCGCTACTTCCATGGATGATCTTTGAGGCAATCTTGGTGATCTAGCCTACTCAAACTCTTGTTTTTCAGTCACACACCAGTAGGTAGTGCACCGCTACTCCCATGGACGATCTTTGATGCAATCTTGGTGATCTAGCCTACTCAAACTCTTGTTTTCACTCACACACTAGTAGGTAGTGCACCGCTACTCCCATGGATGATGTTTGATGCAATCTTGGTGGTCTAGCCTACTCAAGCTCTTGTTTTTCACTCATACACTAGTAGGTAGTGCACCGCCATGGATGATCTTTGAGGCAATCTTGGTGATCTAGCCTACTCAAACTCTTGTTTTTCACTCATACACTAGTAGGTAGTGCACCGTTACTTCCATGGATGATCTTTGATGCAATCTTGGTGATCTAGCCCACTCAAACTCTTATTTTTCACTCACACACTAGTAGGTAGTGCACCGCTACTCCCATGGATGATCTTTGATGCAATCTTGGTGATCTAACCTACTCAGACTCTTGTTTTTCACTCGTACACTGGTAGGTAGTGCACCGCTACTTCCATGGATGATCTTTGATGCAATCTTGGTGATCTAGCCTACTCAAACTCTTGTTTTTCACTTATACACAAGTAGGTAGTGCACTGCTACTTCCATGGGTGATCTTTGATGCAATCTTGGTGATCTAGCCTACTCAAACTCTTGTTTTTCACTCACACTCTAGTGGGTAGTGCACCGCTACTCCCATGGTTGACCTTTGATGCAATCTTGGTGATCTAGCCTACTCTATCTCATGCCTTTCACTCATACACTAGTAGGTAGTGCACCGCTACTTCAATGGATGATCTTTGATGCAATCTTGGTGATCTAGCCTACAACTTTTGTTTTTCAGACACACACTAGTAGGTAGTGCACCGCTACTCCTAGGGATGATCTTTGATGCAATCTTGGTGATCTAGCCTACTCAAACTCGTGTTTTTCACTCATACACTAGTAGGTAGTGCACCGCTACTTCCATGGATGATCTTTGAGGCAATCTTGGTGATCTAGCCTACTCTATCTCATGCCTTTCACTCGCACACTAGGAGGAAGTGCACTGCTTCTTTCATGAATGACCTTTGGTTCGACCTTGGTGATATAGCCTGCTTAGACTCTTGCTTTCACTCACATTCGTAGTAGGGAGTGCTCCGATTCTTCCATGAATGGATCTTTGCTCAAATCTTTGTGTTTGATCTTGTTAGACTCTTGCTTTCACTCACAGGATAGTAGGTGATGATCCAGTTCTTACTTAGTTGATCTGTCCTCTATGTGCATGTGCTTTCCACTAGT